AAGCTGGTCCCCATTCAGGGTGTGTATGGGAGGCAACTGATCAATGTTTCTCTCCCTCTCTCTAAAAAGAAAGAAAGAAAGAAAGAATGAATAAATAAATAGCGTGCTGTGGCTGCATTTCCAGTGGTGTATCCTCCTTAAAAATAAATAAATAAATAAATAAAATTTTGTTATAAGGATGCTCAGTGAGGCCTGGCTGGTGTGGCTCAGTGGACTGAGCACTAGCCTGCAATCCAAAAAGTCACTGGTTTGATTCCCTGTCAGGGCACATGCCTGGATCGCAGGCCCGGTACCCAGTTGGGGGCATGTGAGAGGCAACCGATCGATGTTTCTCACACATTGATGTTTCTTTCCCTCTCTTTCTCCTTCCTTTTTGCTCTCTCTAAAAGTCTAAAAAAAAAAAGAAAAGAAAAAAAAAGGATGCTCAATGTACTTACGGAGAACTCCAACAGGACTTAAAAATGAAAACCATAAAAAAGAACCAGTCAGAAAAGAAGAATACACTAACTGAAATGAATAATTTATAGGGAATCAACAGGAGAGTAGATGAAAACAACAATCAATCAGCAATTTGGACTATAAGAAGGTAAAAAACCCCGTATCAGGACGGCTGAAAGAAAAAATAATCCAAAAACAATGAGGATAGTTTAAAGAGCCTCCAGAACAACTTCAAGTGCACCAACATTCGCGTCACAAGAGTGCTATAAGGAGAAGAGAAAGAGCAAATAATTGAAAACATATGTTAAAAAAAAAATGATGGAAAACTTCAAGAAACTAGACCATCTTTTTACCCCACACACAAGAATAAACTCAAAATGGATTAAAGACTTCAATATTAGACTCGAAACCATAAAAATTCTAGAAGGAAACAGGTAGTAAAATTTCAAACATTTCTCATAGCAATATTTTTTTCTGATCTATCTCTGTGAGCAAGGAAGACAAAAGAAAAGAACAAATGGGACTACAACAAACTAAAAAGTTTTTGCAAAGCAAAGGAAACCATCAACAAAATGAAAAGACAATCCACTGAATGGGAGAACAGATTCACTGAAAGCAGTATGGAGTTACTTTAAAAAACTAAAAATGGGCCCCAGCTACTGTGGCTCAGTGGACTAAGCGCTTGCCTGTGAACCGAAAGGCTGCTGGTTCAATTCCTGGTCAGGGCACATGCCTGGGTTGTGGGCCTGGGTTGTGGGCCAGGTCTGCAGCTGGGGATATGGGAGAGGCAACCAGTCGATGTATCTCTCCCATATCATGCTTTTCTCTCTCTCTTTCCCTCTCCCTTTCTCTCCCTCTAAAACAATGAATAAATAAAATTTTAAAAAAGAAATTAAAAATGGGACTGCCTCATTACTGAGTGATTCCATTGCTGGGAATTTAAACTCAAAATGCTAACTCAAAAGAATACACGCACCCCATGTTCACTACAGCATTATTTATAATAACCAAGATTTGGAAGCAGCCCAAGTGCCACTCAATAGATGAGTGGACAAAAGAAGAAAAAAGAGGGAAATTTTACCCTTTGTGACAGCATGGATGGACCTGGAGAACATTATGCTAAGTGAAATAAGCCAGTCAGAGAAAGACAAGTACCATATGACTTCACTCACAAGTGGAATATAATGAACAAAATGAACTAATAAGTAAAACAGAGACAGACTCATAGACATATAGCAGCCTGACAGCTGGGGACGGGGTTGGGGGTAGAGTTGGGTGAAGGGGATGGAAGGATTGAGCAAAAAAGAAAAAAAGAGAGAAAACTCATGAACAGGAACAACAATGTGGTGATGATTACCCGGAGGAGGACAGTAAGGAGAACTGGAGACAGTACAGGCGGGATAAATGGTGATGAATGTAGTAAACACGCAATACAGTGTACAGATGATGTGTTGTAGAATTGTGTACCTGAAACCTGTATAATTTTGTTAACAAGTGTCTCCCACATAAATTCAATAAAAGGAAAAAAACTTAACTGGTATACAAAGAACTGGAAAACAGAACCCATAAGGAAGAGAAAAATGAATCAACAGAAACAGACCCAGAAATGATAAAGATAACAGAATTAGTAAACCAGACATCACAAATATTAAAGCATATCCCATATATTCAAGAAGGTAGAATAAATCATGATCATATAAAAGACAAACTTCTAGAGATGAAAAATACATTATCTAATATAAAAAATATACTTTATGGGACTAATAGTTGATTAAGTGCTACAAAATAAAAGATTAATGAACCTGAAGACAGTAATAGAAACTTTCCAAAATGAAACAGAGAGAGAAAAAAATAAACAAAAAAAATGAACAGGACATATGTAAGTTATGGGAGAATTTCAAGGAGCCTAAAATATGTGTAACTAGAGTCTCTCAAATAGAAGGGGAAAGAAGAAAAACTGAAAAAAATTTGCTAAAATTTTTCCTAATTTGATGAGACATAAACCTAGAGCTATAGAAAGCTCAATGAATTCCAAGCACGAGAAACATTAAAAAAAAAAAAAAAAAAGAAACCCTACATCAAACTGTTTTAAAGTATTGATAAAGAGAAAATTCTTAGAAGTCAGAGAAGAAAAACAAAGCAAAACAAAAAGTTCACTGGACTAGAGGGGATGAGGAAGGAGGATAATGGTGGAAAGAAGGTGAAGCGACTAGACAGAATATATATGAATGACCCATGGACATGGACAACAGTGTGGGAATTGACTGTGGGAGCAGGGAGTGGGGTGGGGTGGGGTGGAGTTGGGGAAGTGGGGTAGGGTGGGTGGAGGAGGGCAAAGAGGGAAAAACTGAGACAACTGTAATAGAATAAACATGACTTAAAAAAAAAGTTCATTGGACCAAAGATGTGAATGACGATGTGAATTAACAGCTGACTTCTCATTGGAAACAATGCAATAGAAATGTAAGCAACATCTTAAGTACTGAAAGAAAAACTATTAACCTAGAATTTTATGCATAAACAAATTCAATCTCAGTTTCAGCCAAGGAAAAGAATATAGAGTCCCCCGCGCCTGCAGCATAAGTGTCCCACAAGAATATGTTGAGTGAATAAATAAGTGAATAAATAAATGAAGAGAGAAGAATGAAAGGGGAAAGAGTAAAGTGACAGCTAGGCAAGAAGTAAGAATAACAGCTTATAAAAAGGAGAAAAATATTCTGAAGGAAAAGAATCAAGAAAGCTGAGTATCATGGTAAGTCAAAGAGGAAGCAAGTTAGCAAAAGGGGCCAAGAAAGTAAAATGCCACAAAGATGAAGAAAAATAAGGATGGTCACAGTCTAAAACAATGAAAAAAATATTCTGAAAGCTCTGAAAGAACAGAAGGCAGAAATGGATAGAGAATGCTCCTAATTAAAAGTAAAAACTCCCAATACTGATGTTTAGGTCACCTTCAGAATTAAAACAGGAATCGTAACTACCATTTATCAATTGTCCCCATGTACCAGGCACTGCTGCAGAGCATTTACTTATGTTACCTCATTTACAGCAATTTGTAAAATTAACCTGAAATATCCCATGTCAAGTTCAGTGGATACAAATATCAACTTTTGGAAGCATGACTGATAGTATCTGTGAATAAGAAAGCCTACACTTGTTCAATTTTACTCCTGTCTGAAGGAAAGAATATGCTAATAGTAATGAAACAGTCTTGAATGACATATAAAATGGAACATCAAGCCCTGGCCAGTGTGGCTCAGTTGGTTGGAGCATCATCCTGTAAACTCAAAGGTCCATGGTTCAATTCCTGGTCTCTCTCAGTCTCTCAATCTCTCTCCCTTCTTAAATGAGAATAAAAGAAAATAAACTTTAAAATGTAACATCAAGAGTAAAAAAAATACAGCATTCTCCTATATTATCTAGGCGCTAGGGAAGGCAAGGACAACTAAATGGAAGATAAATCCCAGGAGTGGAAAAGAATACACCAGGCTATTATAAGTTAATGACGCTGGCCATTAATAAATCTAACTTCTCTTTGCTCTAATTCTATGCCCAAATAAGCTTCTGATTATATTATGCTTCCCATGTAGCTTTGCTTACTGAACATCTGTACTACCTAATGATTATATGTCTCACTGTAAACTATCTCACTGTAAGCTGTATGTCTCGCTGTTAACTGGAATCCTGGTTTACACTTTTATGTCCAGTGAATCAGTTCCCTAAGCTTAATCACTTCTCGGTGTTCCAACAAAGCATTTTTAAATCTCTGTGTATGTTCTTATAATGATACCTCAAAATTCTATGCGTTGACATGACACAGATAACTGGTTCCCTATCTTGCTGAACACCTATTCAAAATACAATACTCTTTAAAAAATACTGAGCCAAGTCTGTAAGTTATCTTTTGGCCCCATAAATAAGGATGTATCGCAGCTGCACCAAGTGAATCCCTGTGACTCTGAAGCAGTCCCCCTGGGGTGAGGCAGGGGGCTGATTTTCTCACTATCACTGATAGGCTCTGCATTAACCTACAGCTTTCTAATAAGCAGATGACATTATCTTGAAAAACATGTTAGTAAATTAGAAATATTTAGCACATTAAACTATTTAAGAATAGATCAATCTTACAGGAGATACAGGTGAAGTAAAAGAACACTACTTCTGGCAACTATGGGGATGTGGCCAGAAAAGATAAGGAGAAGTCAGAGTGGGATTTCCAAGCAGCCTCGGGACCACAGGCAAGTTCCTTAACTGCTCTAGGCCCTGATTTCCTCTTCTGCAAAATGAGGAAATGGGCTCAGATAATCACTAAGGTCCCTTTCAATTCAAAAGTCTATTCCAATCATTTCCTTCAGTGATAAATAGGAAAGGTACAAAAACAAATTAACCAAGAAAACTTAAAGAGTGACTTTCCTCAACAATATAGCACATTTCTTTTCAAGTGGAATCTATTTCATCTCCTTTACAATAAAACTAGATCCAATAAATATTTTTTCAAATTTGCATATATAGGGGAGATCCATCTACTACAGTGTTAATTTAAGAATAAAAACAAAAAGACTCACGTGTGTCTTTCGTATCTGAGGGTTTCTCGGATGGACCACGCAACCTGGTATGGTGAGGCCTCCTCTGAGTCCTCCAGTTCCTCTCCGCTCTCTTCTGACCAGTCCAACCCTGGTACAGATGAGAAAATATTGCAAGTAAGAAAATACGTATTTTTAAAATTTAAATGAAAAGCAATCTGAAATATGCGACTGAACACCTAGAGCAAGTACTAGCATAATATGAAAAAATGCCTCTTGGTTAGTTTCATCCATATCTGACAAGATATTAATAACAACATACACTCAGGTCTAAAATAATGACATAACAAAAAGGCTGTAGTCCAAGGATAAGCTTCTGTTTCTGTTTTGTTTTTTTAATTTTATTTTTCAGTTACAGTTTACATTCAATATTATTTTGTATTAGCTTCAGGTGTACAGCATAGAGGTTAGATAATCATATGAGGGGGGACCCAAAACGAGCCAAAATTTATTTATAAAAAATTGTGTATTTATTCTTGTATGTTTGAACTTCAGTCACTTTCGAAGTCCTCTCCATTTCATGCAATACACCCATCGAGACATTCTTTCCACTGCTTAAAACAGTTTTTTGAACTCATTGATTTTGGTGCCTTTTTGTGCTTCTGCCATTTTCGTTTTACCTCTTCCACATCAGCAAAACATTTCCCTTTGTGGACTTTTTTCATCCGAGGAAACAAAAAATTGTTACTCAGGGTGAGATTAGGTGAATAACGAGGATGGGGTATGGGGGTCATGCTTTTTTTGGTCAAAAACTGCTGAACACTCAGTGCAGTCTGGGGAGGTGCACTTGGAAATCACCTGTCATGAAATGAACAAATGCTTTGAAAGTTTTCATTAAAAAAAAATTCCCTGAAGTCAACCCAGCCTCTCACAACAACGGCAGCTGGTACACTGACATGGATCAGTTCCTAGAACATTCACCTAGTGAGGGAAGCATGTACTACTGGGTTAGCCAAAAAGTTCATTTGGTTTTTTCCTATAAGATGTCTCTAGTGGCGCTTAGTTGTGTTTAACTTCATTTGAAGCAATTCTATTACTTGCATCTCGGCTGCCGACATGCCATCCAGACAGAGGAAGACCCAGAAACCTCGGGGCCACCTGAGCCACAGCCACAGCCGCATCCGCAAGCACAGGAAGCAGCTGGGAGGCCAAGGTAATGCCGGTGGCTTGCATCACCACAGGATCAACTTCGGCAAATATCACCCAGGTTACTTTGGGAAAGTTGGTATGAGGCACTATCACTTAAAGAGGAACCAGAGCTTCTGCCCCGCTGTCAACCTTGATAAACTGTGGACCCTGGTCAGTGAGCAGACACGGGTAAATGCTGCCAAGAACAAGACCGGAGCCGCTCCCATCATTGATGTGGTGCGATCAGGCTACTAAGTTCTGGGGAAGAGAAGGCTCCCAAAACAGCCTGTCATTGTGAAAGCCAAATTCTTCAGCAGAAGAGCTGAGGAGAAGATTAAGAGTGTTGGTGGGGCTTGTGTGCTGGTAGCATGAAGCCACATGGAAGGGAATCCATTAAGTTCTCAGAAGAAAAAAAAAAATTCTGTTAGACTGCATTATGACAGCTGTCATATGGGCGTGCATTAAAAAAATAAATAAATAAAAATTGGTAAATTTTTTTTGTGTAGCCATTTTAATACTGAAGATGGAAGAAAATACTCTGGCTGGTGTGGCTCAATGGAGTGAGTGCCAGCCTACGAATCAAAGGGTCCCTGGTTCGACGCCCAGTCAGGGCACATGCCTGGGTTGCAGGCTAGGCCCCTAGTAGGGGGTGCATGAGAGACAACAACACATTGATGTTTCTCTCACTTTCTCCCTCTCTCTAAAAATAAATAAATTCTTAAAAAAAAAAAAAAAAGATGGAAGAAAATACGCAACATTTTCAGCATATTATGCTTTACTATTCCAAGAAAGGTAAAAATGCAACTGAAACACAAAAATAAGATTTGTGCAGTGTATAGAGAAGTTGCTGTGACTGATCAGATGTGTCAAAAGTGGTTTGTGAAGTTTCATGTTGGAGATTTCTTGCTGGATGACGCTCCAGTCAGGTGGACCAATTGAAGTCGATAGCAAACAAATCGAGCCAACATTATACCAACAGAAGAGCCAACATACTCAAAATATCCAAATCAATAAATTATTGGTGAAAATGAAAAATGTGCCTTATTTTATGGAAACAATTAGACACACTTTTTTGACCAACCCAATAGAGGAGGCTCGTCCTCCAGAAGATAATTCCGTTTTTTGGGGGGGTAGCGGGGGTGTTGACCCCTTGTATACTTTACAAAGTGTTTCTCTTGATATTTCCAGTACTCACCTAGCACCATATATTATATATATATAGTTATTACAAGTATTATTAATTACATTCCTTATGCTGTACTTTACATCCCCTTGACTATTCTGTAACTATTAATTTGTATTTCTTAATCCTTCACCCAGTCCCCACAACTGCCCTCCCCTCTGGCTACCATCAGTCTGTTCCCTGTGTCTATGAGTGTTTCAATTTTGTTTGTTCTTTTATTTTATTCTTCAGATTCCACGTATAAGGAAATCATATGGTATTTGTCTTTTTCCATCTGACTTATTTCATTTAGCATAATACGCTCTAGGTCCATCCATACTGTTGCAAATGGTAAGATTCCATATTTTTTATGGAAGGAAGAACTTTTATCAGACACTTCACAGACTGAAGAGAAACAACACAAGCAAAGAAGGTACGTGTCAAAAAAAAAAAGGTAGACTTTCTTAAATATCAAAACATCATACACTAAAATGTCAGAAAAACATAAAACATACTCAAGATGGTTAAAAAAGGGGTTCAGGCAAGAAAAAAGTCAAAAGGTACCAGTGGAGTCGCTCTATACTTCAGCAAGGAAGGGCCCTGGAATAAACTGTCAAAGGCGAAGACCCTCTATCTCTCCTTCCCACCATCTTTGGAGGAAAAGACTCCACCCACTACGCAGGGCCACGCCAGGCCCCATTCTATACGCAGAGGGAAGGGCCGAATGGTAACATTCTATTTCTAATGTGGCTTGGGGTTTCTTTTAATTCTTTTAAACAGCAGCTGCCCTATTTTGTGTTCCACTCTAAAAAGGAAGCTTATTGGGAAAAGTAGTGAAATATAATATGAACAATACTTACTTATTTTGTTAAATGCTATTATTTTTAATGACTGGATAATTGTTAGCTTCCAAGAGAAAGGTTTTACTTGTTTAAAAGTTTCGTATCTTGAAGAGGTCTACAATGTGGGACTACATTACTTTAATATACTCTTACCACTTTGAAACTTGAGTGAGATACCTTGATAACTAGTATTCTACATCTTCCTTCTTGAGACCCTCAAAAGTCATTAGACAAAGTTTTATTAAAAGGACTTCTACAGATTTCTTCCATAATTTAAATGAGTTTACATTGCCAAATAGGGAAATTAAGAAAAACTTAACTGAAACTCAAACTTAAAATGCTTAAAATTAAACTACAATTGCCACTGGCATAAAGAAACCTCACATCTAGTGCCAAGGAGATTGGTGATTATCCAAAATGACAGGTCATCTTAAAAAGTAAGTTACTTTCTCTCAACTAAAATAATTAATAATTTGGGTTTTTTTTAAAAGTGAAAAACAAGTAATCACAATATCAGCTTTGGGATGTTGAAAAGTGAGGTCTTTCAAACACGAAGTGGCACTTAGGCACCTATTTAACAAATCAGAACATGAGTTATCTGTATAATACATAATTTCTACTAAGAAACCTATACTTTCTCTGAAAAAGACACGATCTAAATCATTAAGAACTAAAATGTAGGTGTTTCTCCTATTGTAAAATTAACTGTCCAATAAAGCAAACCTTTGATCTTGGCTTCTTATCACTAGTTTTAATGTAACTAACTGCTATAACCAGCCCAGACAGGAGTACAAAAGCCAATTACAAGACTGCATTTTTCTTTAAGTATTTTTTTGCAGACATGAATGGAGACAATGCTTGGTCAGAACAGTGCATTACAATTTGTGGTTTCTCCAAAATAATCTTTGTTTTGAAAACTTGGGCCCCTAATATATTTGAGTTAAAAAAAAAGACAATGATTTCTCTGTTCAAAATTGAACATTCAAAAGCTAAAAGATTATCAGCACCAAGAAGTAAAAATAAAAATTTAGTAGATGATATTGGTAAATGCTGTAATAAGAGGCAAATATTTTTTTGGGAAGGGAGGGAAAGTAGCTCTCTGCTTCAAAACCAATATTAATGAGTTCTAAATAGAGGACTAAAATGTAAATAATAAAAGGACTGAAAGAATATATAGGTGAAATTCTCTTGAGATTAAGAGAGTCTGAAGATGGGGGGAAAAGACTGATTTAAAAGGAGGAAATCATTAAAAAAGAAAATATATTAAAATTTTAACTTCTAAAATTCCAAAATCATTATTATACATATTTAAATGCCAACAACAAATGGGAAGAGAAGTATTGTAACAAATATGAAGTATGCATAAAAAGCTCTTACTAATCAATACAAAAAAGAAACACATCATTAAAAATGAATGAAAAGTTGAAAAGGCAAAATAAATAAAAAATACAAATGTCCAAAGAAAATATGAACAAATATTCAAAATTATATTATTAATCCAAAATAGCAGTTCTCACTCAAAGCATAGTCCAAAGATCCTCAGGGGTCCCTTATTTACTGTGTTGACATTTGAACTGATGATTTAAAAAAAACCATGATGGAACTCAGGGTTTGGGCGGAGCGTGGATCGCTGCTGAGTCCTGGGGGCCGTCGTCCGTGACACAGCAGTGCAGCCAGGGCAGAGCCGCAACCCACGTCGGGCGGCCTTAGGGACAAGGCTGCCCTCAGTGGCTGCTCGGACCCGGACCCCAGCACTAAGGATTTTCTGTGGCAGCAGACCATGCTGCGAATTAAGGATCCTAAGAACTCTTTGGACTTTTATACTAGAGTTCTTGGAATGACGCTACTCCAGAAAATAGATTTTCCCACTATGAAGTTTTCACTCTATTTCTTGGCTTATGAGGATAAAAATGACATCCCAAAAGATAAAGATGAAAAAGTAGCTTGGGTATTCTCCAG